TAATATTACTATTGTAACAGTACAGAACAGTGACATTATATAATGTAGCCCCTATATTTACTGGTGTAACAGTACAGAACAGTGACATTATATAATGTAGCCCCTATATTTACTGGTGTAACAGTACAGAACAGTGACATTATATAATGTAGCCCCTATATTTACTGGTGTAACAGTACAAAACAGTGACATTATATAATGTAGCCCCTATATTTACTGGTGTAACAGTACAGAACAGTGACATTATATAATGTAGCCCCTATATTTACTGGTGTAACAGTACAGAACAATGACATTATATAATGTAGCCCCCTATATTTACTGGTGTAACAGTACAGAACAGTGACATTATATAATGTAGCCCCTATATTTACTGGTGTAACAGTACAGAACAGTGACATTATATAATGTAGCCCCTATATTTACTGGTGTAACAGTACAAAACAGTGACATTATATAATGTAGCCCCTATATTTACTGGTGTAACAGTACAGAACAGTGACATTATATAATGTAGCCCCTATATTTACTGGTGTAACAGTACAGAACAATGACATTATATAATGTAGCCCCCTATATTTACTGGTGTAACAGTACAGAACAGTGACATTATATAATGTAGCCCCTATATTTACTGGTGTAACAGTACAGAACAGTGACATTATAATGTAGCCCCCTATATTTACTGGTGTAACAGTACAGAACAGTGACATTATATAATGTAGCCCCTATATTTACTGGTGTAACAGTACAGAACAGTGACATTATGTAATGTAGCCCCTATATTTACTGGTGTAACAGTACAGAACAGTGACATTATATAATGTAGCCTCTATATTTACTGGTGTAACAGTACAAAACAGTGACATTATGTAATGTAGCCCCTGTATTTACTGGTGTAACAGTACAGAACAGTGACATTATATAATGTGACCTCTATATTTACTGGTGTAACAGAACAAAACAGTGACATTATATAATGTAGCCTCTATATTTACTGGTGTAACAGTACAAAACAGTGACATTATATAATGTAGCCTCTATATTTACTGGTGTAACAGTACAAAACAGTGACATTATGTAATGTAGCCCCTATATTTACTGGTGTAACAGTACAGAACAGTGACATTATATAATGTGGCCTCTATATTTACTGGTGTAACAGTACAGAACAGTGACATTATATAATGTGGCCTCTATATTTACTGGTGTAACAGTTCAAAACAGTGACATTATGTAATGTAGCCCCCTATATTTACTGGTGTAAAAGTAGAGAACAGTGACATTATATAATGTAGCCCCTATATTTACTGGTGTAACAGTACAGAACAGTGACATTATATAATGTAGCCCCCTATATTTACTGGTGTAACAGTACAGAACAGTGACATTATATAATGTAGCCCCTATATTTACTGGTGTAACAGTACAAAACAGTGACATTATATAATGTAGCCCCTATATTTACTGGTGTAACAGTACAGAACAGTGACATTATATAATGTAGCCCCTATATTTACTGGTGTAACAGTACAAAACAGTGACATTATATAATGTAGCCCCTATATTTACTGGTGTAACAGTACAGAACAGTGACATTATATAATGTAGCCTCTATATTTACTAGTGCAACAGTACAGAACAGTGACATTATATAAGTTAGCCCCTATATTTACTGGTGTAACAGTACAAAACAGTGACATTATGTAATGTAGCCCCTATATTTACTGGTGTAACAGTACAGAACAGTGACATTATATAATGTAGCCCCTATATATACTGGTGTAACAGTACAAAAACAGTGACATTATGTAATGTAGCCCCCTATATTTACTGGTGTAACAGTGACATTATATAATGAAACTTGGCTGGTGTAATATTTACTGGTGTAACATATGACATTATTAATGTGACAGTACAGAACAGTGACATTATATAATGTAGCCCCTATATTTACTGGTGTAACAGTACAGAACAGTGACATTATATAATGTAGCCCCCTATATTTACTGGTGTAACAGTACAGAACAGTGACATTATATAATGTAGCCCCTATATTTACTGGTGTAACAGTACAGAACAGTGACATTATATAATGTAGCCCCTATATTTACTGGTGTAACAGTACAGAACAGTGACATTATATAATGTAGTCCCCTATATTTACTGGTGTAACAGTACAGAACAGTGCCATGATATAATGTAGCCCCTATATTTACTGTTGTAACAGTACAGAACAGTGACATTATATAATGTAGCCCCTATATTTACTGGTGTAACAGTACAGAACAGTGACATTATATAATGTAGCCCCTATATTTACTGGTGTAACAGTACAGAACAGTGACATTATATAATGTAGCCCCTATATTTACTGGTGTAACAGTACAGAACAGTGACATTATATAATGTAGCCCCCTATATTTACTGGTGTAACAGTACAGTGACATTATATAATGTAGCCCCTATATTTAACAGTACAGAACAGTGACATTATATAATGTAGCCCCTATATTTACTGGTGTAACAGTACAGTGACATTATATAAACATTTACTGGTGTAACAGTACAGAACAGTGACATTATATAATGTAGCCCCTATATTTACTGGTGTAACAGTACAAAACAGTGACATTATATAATGTAGCCTCTATATTTACTGGTGTAACAGTACAGAACAGTGTCATTATATAATGTAGCCTCTATATTTACTGGTGTAACAGTACAGAACAGTGACATTATATAATGTAGCCCCTATATTTACTGTTGTAACAGTACAGAACAGTGACATTATATAATGTAGCCCCTATATTTACTGTTGTAACAGTACAGAACAGTGACATTATATAATGTAGCCCCTATATTTACTGGTGTAACAGTACAGTACAGTGTCATTATATAATGTAGCCTCTATATTTACTGTTGTAACAGTACAGAACAGTGACATTATATAATGTAGCCCCTATATTTACTGGTGTAACAGTACAAAAACAGTGACATTATGTAATGTAGCCCCCTATATTTACTGGTGTAACAGTACAGAACAGTGACATTATATAATGTAGCCCCTATATTTACTGGTGTAACAGTACAGAACAGTGACATTATATAATGTAGCCCCCTATATTTACTGGTGTAACAGTACAGAACAGTGATATTATATAATGTAGCCCTATATTTACTGGTGTAACAGTACAAAACAGTGACATTATATAATGTAGCCTCTATATTTACTGGTGTAACAGTACAGAACAATGACATTATATAATGTAGCCCCATATATTAACTGGTGTAACAGTACAGAACAGTGACATTATATAAGTTAGCCCCTATATTTACTGGTGTAACAGTACAGAACAGTGACATTATGTAATGTAGCCCCTATATTTACTGGTGTGACATATAGTGACATTATAAATGTAGCCCCTATATTTACTGGTGTAACAGTACAGAACAGTGACATTATATAATGTAGCCCCTATATTTACTGGTGTAACAGTACAGAACAGTGACATTATGTAATGTAGCCCCTATATTTACTGGTGTAACAGTACAGAACAGTGACATTATATAATGTAGCCCCTATATTTACTGGTGTAACAGTACAGAACAGTGACATTATATAATGTAGCCTCTATATTTACTGTTGTAACAGTACAGAACAGTGACATTATATAATGTAGCCCCTATATTTACTGGTGTAACAGTACAGAACAGTGACATTATATAATGTAGTCCCCTATATTTACTGGTGTAACAGTACAGAACAGTGACATTATATAATGTAGCCCCTATATTTACTGTTGTAACAGTACAGAACAGTGACATTATATAATGTAGTCCCTATATTTACTGTTGTAACAGTACAGAACAGTGCCATTATATAATGTAGCCCCTATATTTACTGTTGTAACAGTACAGAACAGTGACATTATATAATGTGAAAAATTAAATTTGAACTCGTAAGAGAACCATTTGTGCTAACCGTTTTTGTAGTTTTTCATCGTATGAAATACTAGACAATGAGTAGCTTGTATATGTAAGGTATGTATTCTTTAGAGTACTCTCGAAAGTCGTCGTTCGTGTGAGTCGTAACTTTGTATACAAGTAAATATAACTAAGGATCATGGTAGTCAACAATCCTCTATCAAGTCTTGTTCAAAGATATCGAGCTGTGTTCGGTTTTGAAAATCTTAACACAAGTGTTTCATATTGAATATTTGTTATACAACGTATCAAAAAAATCACACGTATAAAAAATGTTTCTCTGATCTCAAAGGTATCTTACAAAGAATAAAAATTACATGAGTTTTTCCCATTCAAACATAAATTTAGAAAAGTATGAAACTGTCCATGCTTTGATTATCTAAGTTCTGCTGCCTATTACACAGTTTATAACCGAAAGTGATATCAGCGGTCTCCGTTCAACGTCTTCTTATACATCTAAATGATATGAGTGAATTCGGTGTTTGATAATCATGTATGAATTATCTTCGTAAATTAAATTTCTAAATTAAAATGAAAAGCATGTGTAGTCGATGAATAAGTGTGATATCAGAACCAATCAATATGGTTTGTGTCGTTGGACAAATCGTGATTTATTATGTAGAAAAGGGATTACAGAAAATAGAATGAAATTCCAATCGAAATCTGTTTATTTACACTATACTTCAGAAAGGTTTGTAGGAAGGTGTTAATGAACACTGACAATTACATTTGATTAATTAAATTGAATAGAAAAGAAGAAGACCCGCCTCCCCCTGATGACGTGCGCGAGTGATATAGTGTGATACATGCATTTCTAAATTCAAAAAGTCATGGTTACAGTCGCTACTTGAATCCATAAAGAGAAAACAAGTATTTCCAATATGAATATTCATTGTTTTGGACATAAATAAACGTTCCCAAGTTCAAAATATTTGAATATCTTTACATAATAATTCCACTACTTTGGCATCATTTAACATTAGTCAAAAAGGCGTTTTAATCATAAGATGTACTTACTGTTTAGTCTCAGATGCTGCAAAGGCCCCACTTTGTGTTTTCTTTGGTTTTTCGTCCTCTTCTTCGAAATCATCGTCATACCCTGCATGGAACCGGAAGTCATCGCTTCTTTTACTACTTGACGTTGCTGACGGCAAACTTTTTTCGATTCTCTTACTAGATGGAGAAATTAAAGAATGTGCATCTGGAGTAACGTCGTCATTTGCATAAAACTTAAACTGACTTCCGGTTTCAGTTAGCTGACTTCCGGCGCTTTGCGGAATAGCCACGGATGCACTGTTTGTCCCATTAGACCCTAATTGACTCGATGTTATGCTCGCGCGTGAGATATTTCCTACAGATTTCGTTGGGGAGCCACTTTTACTAAATCCTGAATCTGAACTAACACGTTTTCTTGGTGTTCCGTTTACTGTATTTCTGGAACTGGTCCTTGAACTTGAACTCTTCACGAATGAGGCATTTCCCGCCTTTAAACTTGTACTGTTAGGGGATTTCGATGATTGTTCTGTATCATTCTGTTTCTCCAGGAAACGTACTTTTTTACTTCCGCCAGACGGGGATCCTTCGTTTTCCCTTTCGGTATCATCTGTCGTCTGCTCGTTTGCGTAAGTAATAGCCTCTCTGTTTAAATCGTGTGCTAAACTTCTACTCGGTTCATCTGTTTTCTTTATCGTACCAACAAAGTAGGTTTTCTCTCCTCCACCTTTCGCCATTTGTCATATAGTTGTCACGTCACTTCCTTTAGGTGATTTTTGAGCAATTCATAAATATCTTGTGCTTTTAAAATCTAGACAGACACACAGACATAAAATTATATTTGACATCAACTCACTTAATATTTGACACACCTGTAACAAACACCTGCTAATATTTCTATTTTCCAGTTAATTGTTACAAGTTCAAGACTGAATGTATCATTCAGTGAATTCACGTAGTGGTCATCTGCCGTTCTCTTATCGAATCTAATTCCACATATCCGCAACCTCTCGACTATACATTGGTCATCTATATCACATACATCATAAAATGGTCGCGTGATTTTAAAGACATTTCTTCTGTCGATTTAAATCACTGAATTGTCCACTCTGGTTTATAATCGTCTGTCCACTATCTCTAACAAGCACAAGTGTAGGAATGGAAGTGTACCATGGAATCTCAGTAATGTCACTTTCCACGAGAGAAGCCTGCTAATGTCGTCCATAACATAGTGTTTGTACCCATATTGTTCTTTGAAGTTACAAATTGAAATTGTAGTGTTTATCTCGTGTCGACGAACAACCTGAATGTCCACATTTATTCCACCACAGCAATTGCAATGGGGTATTTAGTCACAGGAGGACGTTCCTATCAATCAGAATGTCCAGTTTTTTGACAACTCCTCATCCTCTACAAAAGGGACATTTAAAATCCATGTTTGATCGGCAAGGAAAACAGTGTAGACGTAGTTCACATCTTATTAAACCAAAGTGTGAAAGAAAGTCTCAAATAACGCTCCGTTTGTGTTCAAGGTTTTAGCGTCATAGCAAACTTATTATAGGAAAGGGCTTAGCGATATAGATACACGTGTGTTTAATGTAAGTTGGGATTTGTCATTACATACCCACGTATTCACAGGCCGTTAAGATCGTTTAGGTTTTTTTATAACGCTATTTGTTCCGTGCAAGTTCGCACAGGTCGGCCTACCAACCTACTGACCGAACGCTTAGTATTACATCCGAACGGCCAAGTCTATAAGTACTACACGAAAGTTAGACAGGCAAAATATTTACCGTTTTGTTTTTAAGTGTTTGGTTGGTTAACAACCCATGTTAAAATTCAAGCATACGAATTCGACATTTTCTTATTGTTTTAAATTGTGTGTAAACTATGACAAATTTACCTGTATATTTGATGGCCTATTTACACGGGATCGAGTCTAGTCAAATAGATTTTAACGACTCTCTGAGAGAGGAATTTATGTAAGCGCTTTATTATTGAAGACCGTTTTCTATTTATTCAGTGGCGTAAAGAGTTACACGTATAGATACATAAACCCAGTAAGAGGATTAGTGGATACAAACTTATACAAATATAATTATCTTAATAGTGTAGTACCTGTTCTGCGAATCATTCGTCTGTAATGAGAACCGCAACATTAAATGTGACCGCTATTCCCAAGGGCTCAGGTGAACTATATCGTATGCTATTGATGTCCATCAACAATACTATTAAATAGGGTAATCGAAGGAGACATCCAGAGAAAATATTTTTTTTTGTTCTTAAAATTAATCTTTTGATATGCGATTTTCATAATTTCGTGAAGGTATTCTAGAGTTCTGATTTTTTTCCTTGTCCAAGGCGTGAAAATATAGTAACTAGCCTTCTTTACAATCCAATATATCTTCCTATATCCTCTACACGTTTTCATTTCAAATATATTTTACAGATTGAATTGAACAACAGTCTTATAGCCAATATAAGTTATCTCCCTTGCTACGGATTACATAGTACAAGACAACATAAATATATAAATAAATAAAAATAAATAAATATAAATTAAAAACAAAACGAAACATAACATACAACAAATATTAAAATACCCCTCCCCCTGTTATGCCTTTCTCATCTTTCGACAATGCATGTTAACAGGTTGAGTACACGTATAAAACATAGGCTGTAGTAATCTAAATCTCTTCATGTATAGGAAAACCGGAGGTCTGTTGTTGATATTGCACAAACGAACGTTATAAGGGAGTGAACTCAAACTGTCACGTTATTGTTGAGAAAAAGCTTGGCCATATTACATTAGTATTTTAATCAATATGACATTTAATAACTAAATCTTTACCGAATGAATTTTACTACACCAGGAAACAGACTACCCGATTGTTCTAAAAGTAATAATGTTGATTCTAACACCAACATATACAGGCATGATACTCACGTAGTGTGACAGGAAGTCATCTCACGCGATATACTGTGCTATACACGTTACACGTTACGTGTGGTAACCAGGACGTTAAATAGATAACTAAAAATTAGTCAAAATCTATCTATTCAATTCAGTAAATACCAAACCAAAGAATTCACGAGTTTTCAAAAACAATCGCGTTCGGTACTTGTACGTGAACAAACACCACATTAAGTTGACGTCTTGTGTCGGAGCAAGCACTTGTGCAAATTTCAGTCGTTTTTATAATACTTTATGTACGGTCGTTTTACCAGAAATATAGGATTTTAATCGTAAGGGATAGATAACGGTAATATATATATATATTTTAAATAACAATAGATAAAAAAAGGAAACCTAATCATCGACAACAAAGGCAGTGGTAACTTTAAAATGTAAAAAGAAATCAATTTGCTCTGAAATTTTAACAATGAAACATTTTTCAAATTCCTATCATATATTCTTGAAGTTGATTAAGCTATTAATTTTTACAAACCTTTTCTTATGTAATGAAATTTGGGCAACAATATGTTATATTTAAAAAACGAGCTCGTAACCATGGCAACAATAATGAATGAGTAAATTTCTGCTATATCCATAGGCTCCTACTCCAGTAGGTCATAAAACTATGCATTTTGGAAAAAATATTTTGATATTCACTTACATTATCGAAAACATTTGCTTATGATAGGAAATTGATATTTTTACAAATATTCAAAATTCTGGTTGCTATGGTAACAAGATTTTAAAAGCTTTTATTTCCATTTTTCTAAACATATAGGGGTTGGTTCCCAAATAGTTGGATGGAAAAGGGTGAAGATTCATGTTGAAGCAAAATGACAGATTTTCTTCAGTTTCATTTAACATCCCGGGAGTTAAGGGGTTAATCATCCAGACAAACATTACCGTATCTGTGGCAATAACTACAGATGTATTTCAGATTTAAAAGAAAGGGCGATATAGCAGTATAGCATCGTAAATATCGTAGCATTTCTGAAACAAACGTAACACGAGGTCACCATCCTATCTAATTTTAACATTATACATTTGTGCCACAGTTTCACTATAATGTCACGTCTAAATTGTACTTTGGTCTTGAGTTAATGTTTTCATAATTCTCTTTATGGTACTATACTTTCGTTGATTTAAGGATCGGTTGGTTTGATTAAAACTGGGACTGTAACCGTTACTGTCCTGATACAATACTGTCTTATTGATGTTACTGATATACAGATAATGTTGGTGATTTCTGTTTCGATCTCGAAATTTGCCTTTGATGGATTGACCTTAGTTCGTTCATCACATGATGAACATAATTCCTGGAGGAAAGCAGTTATATCTGCACTGCATCCCCTACAGTAAGGTAATGTATTCTTGTTTTAACTAAAACTCATTATTAAAAAAAAACATAATAGAATATAAACATATTGAACAGGAGCAGATAGATATTTGTATACCCCCTTCTCGAAATATCGGGTTGATATTGTTTTTGTGCTGTCTGTTTGTCAGTCTGTTTATCTTTTGTCAACTTTAATTGTAAGTGGTAGGGCTTTCATATTTGGTATAAATGTTTCTTGTGACAAGATCTTACTGCTGGTATCAACTGTTTGACTATGTGACCTTGACCTTGACGTTTGACCTACACTGTAAGTGGTAGATGTGGAAGACGTGCTATTCTTGAATGGTGTTTTAGTCCCGGTATAAGTCGTCAATAAAATCAACATGAGTTGACATGAGCAGTGTGTGGCTTTCCGTAGTTTCTGTTAGTTGTTTCATTCTTTGACTATTTTAAGTGTGCGTGAAATTAGTACATACATTACACAGTACAGTTTTAATGTCTCACTTCACAAATTAGTACATACATTACACAGTACAGTTTTAATGTCTCACTTCACAAATTAGTACATACATTACACAGTACAGTTTTAATGTCTCACTTCACAAATTAGTACATACATTACACAGTACAGTTTTAATGTCTCACTTCACAAATTAGTACATACATTACACAGTACAGTTTTAATGTCTCACTTCACAAATTAGTACATACATTACACAGTACAGTTTTAATGTCTCACTTCACAAATTAGTACATACATTACACAGTACAGTTTTAATGTCTCACTTCACAAATTAGTACATACATTACACAGTACAGTTTTAATGTCTCACTTCACAAATTAGTACATACATTACACAGTACAGTTTTAATGTCTCACTTCACAAATTAGTACATACATTACACAGTACAGTTTTAATGTCTCACTTCACAAATTAGTACATACATTACACAGTACAGTTTTAATGTCTCACTTCACAAATTAGTACATACATTACACAGTACAGTTTTAATGTCTCACTTCACAAATTAGTACATACATTACACAGTACAGTTTTAATGTCTCACTTCACAAATTAGTACATACATTACACAGTACAGTTTTAATGTCTCACTTCACAAATTAGTACATACATTACACAGTACAGTTTTAATGTCTCACTTCACAAATTAGTACATACATTACACAGTACAGTTTTAATGTCTCACTTCACAAATTAGTACATACATTACACAGTACAGTTTTAATGTCTCACTTCACAAATTAGTACATACATTACACAGTACAGTTTTAATGTCTCACTTCACAAATTAGTACATACATTACACAGTACAGTTTTAATGTCTCACTTCACAAATTAGTACATACATTACACAGTACAGTTTTAATGTCTCACTTCACAAATTAGTACATACATTACACAGTACAGTTTTAATGTCTCACT